CTGCCGGTTCGTTGGAAAAATTGCTGTAAGCATTTTTGAATGTAACTTTTTCATGAACATACACACTTGAACGAAAAAACCACTTACTCCACAATTAGATTTGGATTCTCTTTAGCTGTTGGTGGAACACTAACATCCATCAGAGGAACAAGATCTGTAGTATCCCATGTTTCTGCTTGTACCTAAATTCAACTCAGCCAACCCTTAACCGCGGTATTTTTTTGGAAAGTATGTACTTGTCATTACAAATGCAAATGGAAGTTTTTCTTGTAAGTCACAAGCAATCATAAATGCTCACCTGGACAAACTTCTTTGATATTTCGTTGTTGAAGAACACGGAAAATTGAGTAACATTGAGCCTAATTGTCCCGTCCTCCTCTATCCTTGCCATGTAATCGAACACATCTCTTGGTATGCGAATCCACCTTCCGCTAAAATGAGAAATAAATTATGGAAAGCAAGGCAACAGATTTAGTCAACGAGGAATATGCACCCTGAACACTCGTTCTTTCTTTTTGCGGCCTGGAAAAACTTGAATCTTTTTTTCAGGTTGTTTTTCGCTTTCTGCAGTCTCCGTCGGTGCTTTGTCTGCAGGAGGCTCAAGAAACTCATCACCTTCGCCACATTCGTCAAGTATCACTATATCGTCATCTTCCGCGTCCTCGTCCTGTAAAGCAGATTAGTTTCTCCCATGTTATCATAGACTTCCAAATCAAATCCCATGGTCCAGCAATGAAAAAAAACAAGAAAAAAAAGCGATATGCAGATGGTTTAAGACAAGGGAACGTGAAACTCCCGCAAATGATCGCAATTAAAGTGTCATGAAAGAGAAAAGGTGTTGTGGAAAGGCGTGTACATCGAGCTAAGAACGATGTCGACTCGCAATTAAAGCGCTTCTTAATCAGCAAAGTATAGGCGCCCCGTCTATAGTCGTCGTCCGCGTCTTGACGATCGTAAGATCACACAGTATTGGATTACCGATCGTCCAGTCGTCCGAGACGTTGGACGATCGTCCATGTCTCTAATACTGTGTGATGATTACGATAGTTACAATCGGACGATTCTTTGGAAGCGCTCTTATTAGGTGCTAAAAAGCATCCAACGATAGCCAGACATACCATGGGCAGTATTCTATCCTTCCCTCAAGTCAGGGGATTGCAAAACTTCTTTGAATTTATTTGCATTCGACGACATGTGTACTTTCTTTACATTCAGCACATGTTTACTTCTATACACACATGCAACAAAAGTAGTCTTTTTCTTAGGGCAATGCTGGTTGAGAAGACAAAGAAAATCTAAACGAATTCTCCTCGCCATTTCCCTAAGGGGGAGATAGGCATAGCGGCCTCATACAACGAACATATCTCGCGTTGCGTGATTTCACGCTGAAACTGCCTTCATCACCAATTCCGCCCACTTCTAATCCTGATTACAACATTACGCTGGGAAGATGTTAACCGCACAGAGAGTCATATATTATACTGATAGTATGAGTTATTTGTTTTACTCCCCTGGATAAGTCCCTGCCGTGACTAGCTAACAGCACAGGCAAACAAGAAAAGCGTCTGCAGGGCAGCTTCTAACACTACCAACGAGAAATACGTGGAGTGAGGGCAACTCAGGGGATTGTGGTCGGAAAGGTGAGCCCTTATCTCATGTAAAAGAAGTTTGAACTTGCGAGGCTGTTTTAATCTCAAACCACTACGTATACCGAGAGGACGCAGACAAGCACTAACTTATTTGAATGGCTGGTTGAGTAATTCGGGAGCCTGGGACATTTTGGATAGTAAAATTTAGCGACACTGTGATGACAGGCCATCGTAATGATGTGAGAGTGAGAATGTGACAATGAGTGCAACGTAATCGTAGAATTATCGGTAGAACTCACACGTGGTCTCCAAATCGCTGTGACTTCGATGTCATGATTAGCATTCCTAAACTGATCTCATTCATTATAACAATAATCGGGCAAACATGAGAAATCACAAACCCCGTGTCGTCATTAACCCATTCAGTGCCATTGATGACATTTTCTTTTTCAGCAGTTACCTGGAATTCAGTGCAATGATTCTCCTTCATGTGAATGAATCTCAAAATATTTGTACCGTTTTCTCGGTCTCGCTCTCCTCGACAATCATTAAACCTTCGTTTTCATCACACATAATAGTTCTGCGAATACGAATTACCTGTAAAAAAAGGTTCAAAACATACCAAAAAAAGTAAGAAATCGTTCGAGAATACCAGTCACGAGTTTTAATCCACTCCTGCAAGTCATCGCGAAACAATAAGACCGTAATGGTTTCGAAAAAAGTGCTACCGATTTCATGAAAACGGATTTATACCATGGATCTTCACACTTGGAGAGACGCGAAGCAGTTTTGGATTGAAGACTCACCAAGAGACCGTCGCAATTTGAACCAGAAAGCCAGCGGACATACGCAGTCCCGCTCCTGTTGACCTTGAGCCGCAAAGGTGTGGGTCATTAGAGAAGAAAGCGACTTTATTGCCTATCGAGCGAATTTTTTTTGCTACGGGAACCTCATGATCCCTCGGATGAATTGAGGTTCTGCAGTGTGACAGATTCGCTGGCAAAAAACCGAAGAAGTCGGCTGTTTTGTCCAAGCCTCTCCTCACCCGGTTGCAATAAGTTTTAATCTAACTCCCTGTACTGATCACTACTACGTGATAATTGTGGTTGCTGTAAGCTGCACAAAGTACATACCATGAGGAAGTTCTCTTTTTGCTGAATTGAGACGACTTTAGGCAGTTGCCCCCTCCTGTTTAGAGTCTGAAATCCCAATACTCCAACAGCAAGCAAGTATTGGCATAGTGGTTAAAAGGTTAAAGCGCTCTGGTCAATCCCTTATTGGGATGAGCCCACGCAGTCGATTAGGCGAATCCTGAAAATCACTCTGAATCTCCAAAATCAATTCCGTCGCAAGTAATGAAACCTGAACCACATTTTTGGGATGGTTTAGCGATAAATCCTCGGATTGAATGGCCCGCAACTCCATATACTGTGTCATAGTGCCACTCTAATTGAAGAAAGCTTCCTAAGTGTTACTTTCAAACTACTTTCATTAGGAATGGTAGCCCTAACAAGCAAAAGAAGGAAGGAGTAAAAGAAAATTATAGAACAACAAGAAACACAATTGAATGGAACTTCGCAGCAAGTGTGCTCAAAGCCGCGTCGGTACGGTAGGTCGACAAAGACGTGGAAGAATTACGGGAAACTCTAGCTACCGTAATGGGAAATTCATGTTCGATCCGTGCAATACAATACAATTTAAAAAAACAATACAAAATAAAAAAATACCATAAAAAAAATACAAAATGAAATACAAAAATACATACAAAATTTTTTACAATGCAATACAATTAACAAATTAGTTCTCGATGTATGATTGCTTGTCTCTGATATTGATATTTTTTGGTGGGTTCGTCGCAGAGAGCGGAGATGAGTGGCGATGATGGGAAGGAAGAAACTGAATATATTGAGTGGTGCTCAAGCTCAACTTTGTCAAAAAAGAGGACGCGACCGGTTCACACGTTTGGGATCTCGTACAGTAAGAAGGGACGCGTATTAGGACAATTCATATCATTTACGTGATCCAATTTTTCGAAGAGGAAGGAAGCTACGAGGTGGGCGAAAGTGGGATGGTTCACGCAAATCGGTCTCCCTCTCTGTAGAAATTGAAATTTCTTCAGTTGTCCAACTGTTCCACCTTTCCTACCTATGAAACACCATATTTGGCTCTTCCAGTAGGGTGGGTAAGTGGCCATTTTGGTGCAATGGTTTGTGCTGTCTAAAGCACACGAATCACTGCACCACAACCCTCTCTTTTTCCGAACAGACAATACAATAAGATAGTTTCAAACGTGTATGGTGCTTTGCACCGAAAGTCCTCCCTCTTCGTGGAGACCACATATTGATCAATTATTTGTTTTTGCTCGTATTTTTTTTTTATTATTTTTTTGTTTTAATTTTATTAAACAGTGGTCTGTTGCTCTTGGCGTGATCGTGTATTCGATCAAGGGGGAAGAAGGGGGTGGTCCACACTCTGCGATGGAAGACCGGTCCGAATAAACTAGTTAAGTACACGGTTACTAGGAAGCAGCAATCGTGGACTGTGACAATGAAAAATGGACTAGTCAAAAGCATGCAAATTCAAAATATCAAAGGGGGAAGAACAAGAAACCACAACTTTTGTTTCGCAAACCCCAATGATGGGGTCATACTTGGCGATCTTACTATTCTGCAGTCTTGAGTACTGTTTTCATGAAGTATATATGTATCAATCGCGTAGGTGGATATGAACTACTCCTCACTCGAACTGTAAACGTATGACCCGACTCTCAAGCTTTACTAAACCCTCTTGAAACACAAGCAATATCTTCCGTCTGTATGCCTATGATCTCTGGAGGGATTCCCCACTTGAGAAAGCACACTCACGTGCAGCGAACCCTGTGTAGCTATGTCACTGCTTCAATTGACGAAGCTCCTGCATCGTTGATCGGAACGGGGCAAGTTCTTTCCATTCTTCCGATGCACTGTAATGTTTGAATAGTTTTATTGTATTTCGTTCCATCTTGTTCAGTTTATCTGATATTCATTGCTGATACAAAATTTGCTAATCAAATTTATTTTGCTTTAAAGTAGTCGCCCTTGGACGTTTTAACTTAAAATGATCGGTGATTATTGTACTCATCTCAGTTTGAAGAATTATTACAACAGATCATATGTCATACATATTACTGACTTCCGATAAATAAACCAATGACGGGATTGACAATTGATGATAATTACAGCGCAACAAAACGCAGCTGAACAAATAAATTATGATGCAATAAAACACTTCAAGAGTTTAAAGAGGCACGCAACGAACACACGCACGTACTGGGGAGAAATATTATATATAGAACGAGGTAGCGTCGGAATGCGAAATCAGACACAAGGACCAATACATCGCAAAACAGTGAGAATTATCTCTCGAGATCCATTATCTATACGATCTGCCAGCTGGGCTGCGGCCACGGCTCCTGAAAATGGTGAACTGTTAAAGCTGACTCCTTATCTAGCTACAAATTATTATTGACGAATCCGATATTTTCAAAATATAAACAACTGTGTTAAAGATTGCCATGTAGAACAGGGCGATGAGTCGAGCTAAAGATTTGGCGGTCATACCTTAGAATAAAGTGTCTTCTACAAATACGCCATCAGACATTTCACTAATGAGTAAGAACAGCAAGTGCATGGTGAGAACGGATTTTAGGGAGGGGCACTAGTTGTTCTCTATTTTTAGTACCAGAGAGCACTTTGGACTCTAATACTAAGGATAAGACAATACGTAGACGACATATAAGAAGTGCAAACCTGATAAGGACGGTGAGTGCCCTACATCCCACATCTTGTTCATATCCTACCCAGTTTCTTGCACCTGGTCATCTACCTGCGGCTCTTCCACTCTTCCACCCTACTTCAAGAGTCGACTTACGTGTCATGAGCGCTGTCATTTTTATCTTTGGTTAGAAAGCATTGTAGAGTGTCCCCCTCAAGCTCCATTTTCACCAGGTACACCTATGATCCTCTGCGTTGTCTTCTTGAACGAAGACCTAACTTGGTCCTACATTTCAGTAGCTGCTCCACATTTAATAATCTATTCGTTTGTAAATTCAGCAGAGGGGTATAGATTTACAGAAAGGCTGAATCCCAGGTCTCAAGAAGACCAGGCAACCAAGCCTTCCATTCAGCCGGGCACAGTCACTTGGTACTAGACTTGTCTGCGAGAACAAGAACATTGACTTGTTCATCATGTGGCTCTCACTGTATAAGTAGCATTCAAACGCGAGAAGAAACTCAGACGAGTTTGATCGTTTCAGTAGTTCACGAGAAAACTTCTTCATAACTGTTTCTTTTCATTTTCTATTTCTACAAAATGCCTCTTTTCACTTGAACCGCTTACCGTAAGCTTGTTAAATAAACACTGAACTTTGGCCATCTTAGGTTAGTCAAAAGCTAAGAAATACGACTCACATCCCGTAGTCCATCATTCCTCCGAATGACTGAGCGGCGAAAGCCGGATATGACTGCCCAAACTGAAATAGAAGACAAGTTCAATTGTACTACGCTATAGCGCTTTCTTATCCATACACATGCACTGATGACCAGAAAATAGAGAAAAAACTTCCGTACAAAATCATCAATGTTCACAATTTCTTTTCAAAACTATTGTGGGCAAATCGTGAATCTGAAGTGATCTCGTAACATAATGACAACTAACCGGAGGAGCGCCTCCACCTCCACCACCACTGCCAGCACCGCCTCCGCCCATGGTTGGATAAGTGATACGCTCAGGACGAGACTGTGATGGCCCCATGCGAGAGCTGAATAATAAGGATTTAACAAGTGAGCAGTATAAATGACAAAAGTTACCAATGTTGAGAAAGCAGACAAAGATAAGAGCTATCATTTCTAATTGAATTCTAATTAACTAGCACGTTTAACAAACTTCTTCTAGCGGACAAAAGTACTACTGAGTACCTGTCACAGAAGTCGTCTAGTGGCTCCACATATCTGCTAATATCCCGAATAGGACTAGGATTGTAATCGAGACCACCGGACATGCGAGGGTCCCTTAAAATCTACGATAACGACAACGCCTTCCGCGTTTACTCTATGGCTACTACACTTCACATTCAGATTTTAGCGTCCAGAAGATTGCTTTTTGTATCCTCCCCAAATTTTCGCTACATCAAATAACCAAAAATCGTCCCTTTCAACAGTAACTAAACCCAGCACTTTAATGCAAGTGATGTACTATCTGATAAAGAAGAGAGCTCAATGCGCAGCCGTACAGCGGACACATCGAGTTGAATTTCGTTAAGACTCTATAGGTTGGTGCCAGAGTCGCAAGTGTCTCATTTAAACATTTGAAATACTGAATATGAAACAAGTAGAATCATGAACAGTCGCCATCAACCATCACCATCCAGCAGAAATGGCGGCGGGATTGGAGAGCACCTATTAATCGAAGCACTTGTGATTTCTGTGATCGTGATAAGCGCGATTCGCGAGACGGACCGCGACTCGACACCAGCCATACTGAACTCGGGAGAATGTCACTGACATTCAGTTCTCGCAGTATCTCACTGGTGAACAAGAGGAATTTTTAATAATATAAAGGCATAAACCGAACACCACTGCTTTAGTGATGCTCAAACGGACTGCATCCGACCATTTGAATTACTCACCTTCCATAGGATTCATCAATCAATGGTGGAATTCCACGCGATGGAGTATCATACGTCGGAAATCCAGGATTCTGAAAATAGTTATTCAGAAAAAATGCTCAGCGCATGTTCTAATATTCTTCGATAGTCAATGTATACTCTCATATTCTCCTCACCACACCTAATACGTAACATTTAGCTAACCTCTCCCTTCATTCGGCATTTTTTGACTAAAATTGAAAACGATTCTCCCTCTCAGAACCTAAGATACTACACCCACTTAAGCAAAAAAATAACCTTAAGATAGTGACGGCCAAGTGAATTTCTTCTGAAACCATCAAACAAATTGTACACTTTGTTAAAAATACCCAATCACAAAAAGTCACATACCCTACGATCCACAACATTCAGTATTGCGCCCACAACTGAACCCAGACCCATTTTTTCTACCTGTCTCACTGCTTCTAATGACGACGAATTCTCTTGCGCAGCTCTGCGCATCACTGACTCCAGCTTATACATTTCACTAAAATAGAACAAACTTAAATTCAGAAGCATAAAATGAAAGCTTGTAAAAAGTGACGCACTCTGGTTGGGTTGGAGGTCTTACCCACGTATCACCTCCTCTGCGATCACTGAACGGATAAGGCTCACCGTATCGCATCTGAACCATGAGCAAATTGAAATGCATAAGCAAAAAATAATTACGAAGCGACCAAGCGGAAAACCTATTAAATTTAGCTACTCGCACCTGCTCTTCATACATGTTGCCTTGCGGGTAGCGTTGATTCTGGAACGGTGCCGGACCGCTCTGCCACTCTCTACGGCCCATTAGTGGAGACACAAAAGGAGACGACCCCGATCCACGATAAGATGGCGAAAGCCTTCTAGACATTAGGTTCCGAATAGGACCACCTCTCGAAGAAGATTTGAAAGATGATCCTCGTTGGGAAGCCCTTGGGGCATTCTGTGCACCAGCTTTCGCAGGAGCGGATGGAGTTTTCTTTGGGAAGGCTGGAAAACAGTCCATTATAGCAAAGTCATAATACGTTTTAAAGACATTCACATGTACTGTACGAGAGCAGAAAGACTTGGAAGGGTAATCATTTCCACACATTCGAATAAGCGTGTAGATGTTCCTAGTGTGGCAAAATTGAGGATGACTACATCTACCTTCTCCCCCTAATTATGGAAAACGCGGGCATAACCTCTCTACCATACCGAAGAAGGAAATAAGGGATTCCAGCTGTGAATGTTGTCACCAGCTAATAGACAACATTCCGTGGGAAATTCTAGTAACCTTAGCAGTGCTTTCGGAAAACACCGAAGCATGCCATGCTAACCAAGTCTTCTCCCGGGAATGTAGATGAACGTACACACTCCACTCGATTCAAACAAGTGGCCAAATGTTTACGGGTAGCACCACAACGCATCCAGAACTTCCTAACGAAAGGTAAGGAAGAACTGCGATATGATGCACCCACTTCTACTCTGGAGTGGTAGCAAAGTTTACACCAGTGTAGACACTGTAGACAGAACAACTCAACTTACTTTTTTTATTTTTCGACTGGGCGTAATTCTTCTCATCCAACCTAGGTTGCTTAGCGGCTGTGCCGCTATCGGGAGTTGACGATGGAGCACTGGGCTCCGCAGTACGCTTTCTGAAAATGCGACAAAATGCAGACCGCTATGGTCGACCAGGAAGCAGATTGCTTTCACTGAATCGACACTTTGATGAGTTCGTATTTCACTCTTGAGTGCGCCGCCAACTAGTGAAAAGTGAAGGGTCGCAAAGCGGCATTGCCGAGAGCGTTATTGCCTCCCAAGGCAACTAATTTGGGATATAGCTAAAGTAATTAAAAGACTATTTAAGATCTTCAACGTTGTTGAAACTGATTCAATGAGAGGGACCTGCCTATTTGATCATTTAACGATTTGAAAAAATCAAAAATGAGTCGCTCTCAAAGAACACCCATATCGTTCAACCTGAACATGCGACCCTGGACAGAACAAAAAACGTTCTATCTGAGTTCGATGAACTGCGAAAACAGCGCACTTGCCTTATTCTTTGCAAGTCACACTAATGGCTGTCACATATCAGCCTACTTATAATGACTACTGGCCGTTTAGATTTTTACCTACCACTGTACGCGAATATCACTCCAGAACCGCGAATTTTATCTTTCAGTGACAAATATCACACAGACAAACGGATGATGCCTGTACCAATACCTTCGACAAGTCATAAATGTATGCATGTGCAAATTAGTTTTGGGAAACGATGGTGTTAGACATTTCGAAAGAATGGCAGGGGAAGTGGGTGGGTGGGACAAAATACAGCCGTTATCCAGAGCGATACTTGAGAAACGCACGTGAATGACGTTGTGCAAAAAGGTTTTGGAACATATGAAGTGAATGGGTATTTAATACTTCGAATATGTGCATGCACCGCCCACTTGCACATGCTCATGCATGGAAGTTCCTCTCTTGACGGCCACTTCAATAATCCCATATAGCACTAACTGGACACGACAACACTTACAGAGCAGACATGGAACACATTCTGCCAGGGCATAACTCGTGATTCTTGACTGCTTCAATTCAATGGTGGGCTAATCAAACACCTTTCCCCCGGACTGTCCAGAACATCGGCGACAAACCACCTGACACCTTCTTCCAAAACTCCAATTTCAACGTGAATTGGGAAGAAAAAGGAGTGCATGTGATTTCTGCAATTATATGACGTCCCACTCGTGAGCATTTTCCACTGACTAGTCGCAAAACATGGAAATGAGTTTACGAGAGCGTGAAAAAGAAGCACAAAATATTTGGGTTGACCCATAATTTCTGGCCGAATTTCAACACTTTGATTTATTCAAGTTTTATCTTTCCTAAAGAACAATTGATCAAAAACATAACCACCATCATAATCACTGATATGCACCCATTTGCTAGGGAACGAATGGATGCATTCCTCCAGAACGAGAGAAGCTGTGAGATGAAAAGCTCGAAGAGGTCGTTTTTGGGGTGGTTGTATTTACTGACTTTTTCCTCTCCTAGCTGCTGCTTCAGGGGCTGAGGAGGTGATAGTACGATGGAGCAACGTAAGGGCTATACGATAGATGTGGTGTCGTGGTCCAGCCAGTTTCCCTCGAAACGTGGCGAGTTATCTTTGCAATGTGATTTCGGGCGGTCCTCCGGAGAAAGGAGATTTTGAGACGTTTCGAACCGTTCTCCGCACTGCTGCGGCCAACTTCGGGAGCTATTCCATGGTTACCTGCTTGTCTGCATAAAGTGAAATGGTTCCCAAAACAGGATACCCAGCGAATCCAACAAAACGGGGGTCACACCCTGATGAAACAGCTCGGGTTTTGGTTGATGTGCTGCGTCCAGGCTGCGAGGTAGCCACCGGGCGAGCCGCGTGTTGTTATCGTAGGGACTCATGACTCATCTGCACTGGTGACCAACTAGGGAATGTCTTGTCTATACGGTCGCAGAATGAAACTTCTGCAGATGGTCAGGCGTGCTTCTCGGTCATGGTCAGTCGATGCATGCTGTTTCCATCGAGGCTTCATTCTGCTACAGCCATTCCATTCAGGTGTCGACTCATGGAGCGTAGGCTGCGCCAGATGTTTGCTACAGTTTCCTGCTAATAGCGTCCGGATGCACTTCCTATTCGTAGCGCAAGGGGTCCTCATCGAAAGTGATTGGGGTCCGTGATGAGGTCGAACTTTGCAGCTCCTATCGCCTTTGCGTATGCTATTGAGCCAATAGCTCAGTGCCCGATCAGTAGCAAAGACTGGGGCAAACGTAGCGCTGATCTTGCCTACCGCGCTCCTTGCAAGGTTCTTCTTAAAATTGTCGCAAGGCAAAATCGTTGGGTTTGGTTGTTGATCTATTTTGATTCCTACTTAATTATCCCTTTGCGCATTTGAGCTTCTGAAACATCCTGGCTGAAGGTCCTGATGTGTTCTTCAACATATTAACTTATTTCATCATGAAGCTAATTTGACATGAAGAAAATTGAATTTGAACCAAAATCGGCCAGAAATTATGGGTCAACCCAATACATTAATCCTCAGCTGCACCTAAAGCCTACAGAGTGAATTCAGCAGAAGAGCTGAATTTTATGTTAGAAATACGAAAAAGTGAACGCACTTGTTCGGCAACTTCTCCTGGTCAGCATTTTTCTTGGTGGTTTGCTCCTCAACCTTCCCTGGGGACTTCTTATTGTTTTCAGCCTTCTTATTCGCATTTCCATCCGCGGGCAATATCTTAACCGGGAAGAAATAGAATTTGGAATTTAGAGAATCATCTTGAAACATACCTTCGCGCCTGATGCAATTTCAGCCTCTCTCCGCTTCTGTCTCTCCGCGAATTTCTTGCGACCCTGCAAAATTTATATATTCCACATATAGCGGTATTGCATTCCGCGCTATGGCAACACTAACCTCGACCATTGCTTGCAACCTCTTCTCTTGCGCTGCACGTTCAGCTGGATCATTGGAAAAACAGCTGCAAACAAGAATGTGACTTGTTTAGAGGCAACAACTTATGTAAAAACAAAAAATACTCGACGATAAGGGAAGGATTCTTCGCCGCTGGCGGGACACTGACAATTCCATAGAGGCACAGCAATCTGTAGTTGCTCCCACCAAATTCACTCACCTAGAATTGTCACATGCTGGCAGAAAGATGCGAGCAGCTCCCGTCCAAGTTCAAAATCCTCAAAGAACTTCGGCACGAACTTCTTCGATATTTCGTTCGAGAAAAAGAGTGAAAACTGGGTCACATTGAGTCTGATAGTCCCATCTTCCTCTATTTTTGCCATATAGTCAAACACTTCTCTTGGTATACGGATCACTTTGCGCTGAAAACACACATGATACAGGAAAAATGAAACGCCACTTTTGTCGTCGACTACCAAACGCACCTTGAATACTCGCTCCTTCTTTTTGCGACCGTGCGATGTAGGTTGAGCCTTCTCTTCAGAGGGTTTTTCGCTATCGCCAGATTCTTCCTTAGTTTTGTCCTGGAAACGAGGAACTCGTCACCTCCTTCAGTATCATCTAGTATCACTACATCGTCGTCTTCCGCGTTCCGCCCTAAAAACATGAGATCTAGTGAAGTTAGTCCACTCATAGGGTCAAGAAAAGCTTTTCCATCGCCCCAGAAATAGGAAGTAACATCCAGATGACGGTAAAAGTACTTGTTGAGTGAGAGTGCACATATGCGAGTACGCCGCGTCACGATTGATTAGTTTAGAGCATATATACATTCATCAATGTAATAAAATATGCATATTGTAAAGGGGATTACATGGTATACAACACAAAGGAAGGCGATATCAGTTGGTTTGTCCAACCATACTGCGCCGGGTGAAGACTACCGCCTCATTCAAAAATCTTACAGAAGAGCACCCCATCACTGATATCAGTCGCCCAATCTTGCTATTAATTCAATTCTTAAATCTGCTCTTCTGATGTCAGAAAGTGCTTTGATAGAATATCCAGTTTTACGGCATCTTCAAAAAAGTTGTACCACACTCGAATTCAAACTAATTAATAGTTATTCATAGTCGGTCGTCCAATCAGAACGATCGTAATGATCACACAGCGCCAAATATGTACCGATCGTCCAACCTCAGACACGTCTGACGATCGATATGCATCCAATGCTGTGCGATCGTTACGATCGGACGACCGACTATGAACGCGCTCGAATACTCACTTGGGGCTTCTGTGCTGCCTCTTCTTTGACGATGGGCTTGGAATCCCTGAAATAGTGCGATAGATAAAACACATGTTCACGGAAATTAGAAAAAAAATATGAAAATTTCACAAACTTCGTGGCTGGCTCGTCTTTAACTGGTTGAGCGGTTACACTGGTATCAACAACATTCTTTTCGGTTCCATTGACGTCATTTCCTTTTCCAGTGATCCCCTGAAATCCATTTTCATGTTGCAGAAAATGACGTTGTATTTGAATAAAATTTCGGATTGGAATTACCGTTTCCTTGGATTTATCTCCCTCTACAATCGCTATATCGCCGTTTGCTTTATTCATGATGTAGTCCAATAAATCGCTGACCAACACAAATTACCTGTAATGGAAAAAAGTAAACTAGAAATCATCATTCAACAACCACAGCGATCGCAAGCAATAGGAACGATTACGAGCAGATAAAATACCACAGTCTATTTTGCGGTAGGTCAATTACGCTTCCGACTTGGCAACACTACAATCATTCGTGTAACATCGCATGGGATCGTAACCCCTCCCCCTCCCCCAAAAAAATGTTTTCCGATGCCGGAACGCATTTAACAACAACCTTCCAAAACTCAATGCGAAGCTGCTGACACTCGGTCTTGGACCTTTGCCCCTCATGGCAAGTATAGAAGTATTCTTTATTGCCAAGGAAAACCGAAAGAAGAGGAAAAAGCTGTAAAAACTTAAAGTTCTTGTTGTGATATTCGTAAACAAAAGCATACAAAGATCTTTTCCTGTCAGAAAATTGTAATAATATGTTAGCGATTGCAGGCAAGCACCAGCTTCATCCATTGAAAAAAAGATGAAGACTCAATACCTCTGAGAAACACTTTCGAGCACGATATCGACTTAGACAGACCCACTGTGAAAAATGGGCACGAATATATCCACCACAGATGTTATACTGCTCTGATTATAAAGATTTTCAGAGGTTATCTCCACCATGGTTATCGTGATTCTTCTTAGGCATTAGTACGAATCGAACGTATGTTAGTGTATTTTTGTGATCCTCGGACTTGTATGCAATGCGCGTTGAGGCCGCGGCCGAGGGCGAAGGCCATTGCAGAGCAGTAGTTCACTCCAGGAACAGTAAGGCTGGCGTCAGAGTCCACGATTTTCGCGATTGACGCGAAACGTGCGACGGATCGCGAAAATTCCAAGTGCCCTATTACAACATTTGAAACACTGAATATCAAACAAGTGCAATCG